AAAGCTTCAGAATTTTTATTGAACTTGATTTTGTTTTTCTTTTCTTCAGTATATAGAAGAGAAGATCTTGTGAATGCATAATTGCATGATTTTCAATAGGTTTTGATAAGAATCAAACGATACGAGAGAAGAAATAAAAGAAAAATATAATGTGGAGAGTTTTTATTGTACTATGTGGTTGAGTTGATAATAAATCGATGGAAATTCCTTTGATAATTTAGTTTATCTAGAGATGAATACAAAACTTTCGAATCTCTATTGAAGAATCATATATGCTTTATCAAAAGAGAAAATTAAAAATCATGGATCAATTAGGTTTTCCAGAGAATTTTTTTTTTCAGTTCAAAGAAAATTATAATGAATTTTCTTCAGTTGGTCACCAATCATCATATTGTTTGCGAGACAGTTTTTTATTTCAACAAACATTTTTTTCTTTAACCCTTTGAAGCCCAGTGGGATATATATTTCCCACCTCGAGAATTTTGAAATCTTCGAGTTTTTGAGAAACTTGGAGAAATATTTTCAATAAATGTTAGAAGCTAGGAGAGGTCCGTACAAGATTGATTGGATAATAGAGTGGATGGATGACATTGACAAATGCATCTTGCAAAGTTTTGATTCCATGGGGGAGTGCTTCTATTGAGAGTGTACGAGAGTTTACATCAAATTCATTGGAATGGAATGAAACTTTCAAGGTTTGTAGGACTCGTACCTATAAGCATAGCTGTAGGTTCGAAAAAATTGAGAACCGTGAGAAGTCTGGAAATTTTACCATAGATGCCACTCGCTGAGGTGATCATTTTTTTTTGTAGCGGATGTTTTTCTTCCCGTGTTCTATTTTTTGTGAAAAAACCTACGGAAAATGCTAATTTTTCATGTTTTTTGAGCTGAAATATCTCTATGAAGTCCAAACAGAATTTTACCTTTTATTAGTGTTCTAGAATCGACTAACTGTCCTCTGTCTAATGCTGAAACTTCCAAGTCTGTAGCTTGTTTCAAAGCCAAATAGCAAAACCATCTTCGGAGCCTACTCTCGAATTTTCTCCAACTTTTCATCCTTCCTCAGATAAAAAATATGGGATTACCAAAATCTATTCTATAGTGAAACTTCATCAGTACACCTAGCTCTATCATTCCTGATGATTTCATCAAATTAGGTTCGGTAGAAAAACTTCAAGATTCAAAGGGTTAAATGTAGCATTACAATAGTGATATATGTAATTTAATATAATATATTTTTTTAGACAAGAAAATAATTGAATCAACACTACTGATAAAGATTTTTGATGGAACACATACGTTGATGACTTCTGAAATTAATAGATTTTCTGCGACAAAAAAACTTAACCAAACAGTGTAGCCAGATAAAATCAATAAAAAAAATGCATTTTTATGCGTTAAAATGTGTATTTTTTACATTTTCAGCATAAAAAAGCACAGATTTTAACGCGTGACATAGACCCTTGTTTGGCTGGCAATTTTATTTTTATGCAAAAATTTGAAATCAAATTAAAGTCGACTTTTTAATAATAACAATCAATGGTATACGTAAACGATGAATTTTATTTGAAATTGAACAGGTAGAAATTATTAAATTTCTAAAAGTTTTGGTAGTGTTTCTTGTTTTCTCAATATTTAAAAGATATTTCTATCATAAATCAAGAAAATTTCTCGTTGTATATTAAAACATTTTTTCATACGAAAAAACAACATGAAAATTCAAAACAAAAAAGTAAGACAACAAGATGCTAAACTAAAATAATACTAAAAAGTAAAGATATTGTTGATAATAAAAATGATGAGTACTTTTATTCTACATGTACACAAATTTTATTGTCATATTCATTGTTTTCTTCCATACGTAATCTTTCCAACGAACATGTAACACGAAAACTTGCAAGTTGAATCGCTGCTGAACCCAAATTACAGTCATCGAAATCTGATCGAAGCCAATCTAACATTTCTGTTTTAAGTGTAGGTGCTGCTGTTGTTGTTGTTGTTGTTGTTGTTGTAGATTGACTTTCATTTGAATCTATTAGTGTATCAGTTGTTGCTGGTAATGTATCATCTTCATTATGATCAAAATCTTCCTGATGTTGTGCATGAATTTTATAATGACTTTTCATACGATATGCCGATGGAATATATTGATTACATACTTTACATATACGTTTTTTTAGTTCTTTTTTTACTGATGAACAACAATAATCAAATGGTAACATTTCATTCTGAAAGAAAAAAAAAACATCGTTTTATTTTTATTAATATGAAATGAACAATGAGTATTAATCAATGTGTGGATATTTGTCTCGTCCATACTTACTGAAAATCAAAATTGGAACAATGTTGATGATTGACTTTTGTAAAAACAAAAACAATGAGATACGTGGACTAGTTTTTGTTTAGTCTCGGTGAAAAAATTCCTTCAGATCTAGCGAAATTTGTCAGTACAGAGTTTGAGATAATTTTCTATAAATTCGAAGTACTTTGCTATGGTCTTGCGGCTGGAAAAGCTAATTCTAATCTTGCTCATGTCCCGAGATCAAGAATTACGGGCAGATTTCGACAGGAAAACATTGAAAATCGTTTGTATTCTCATTCTTAGATATGAATCTATATAGTGCTTTTCCTAACCTGTGTATGTTCAATAACAATACCATGAAATTGAATTCGTTGAAATAATGATCCATAAAATTGTCCTTTTTGATAATCTTTGTCTGCCATTCTAATTCCATATGCTGTACGTTCAAATGGTACAGGTGATGGTAAAAATCGATGAGGAAATACTCGAACATAATTTGAACGCCATTGACCACAACATTCAATTGAATTACAACGAATAATTTGTAAAGTATATTGTGTTTGTAAAACATGTATAGCACACCAATATTCATCAATATCATATTTTGGTTGTTCACTGAAGTTTTCTTTTCGTATACGAGCATTTTCTTGATAATATTCATCCGATGCATGAATACGAAATTCATGTCCTTCTTCTGCTTCTTCTTCAGCACAAACTCTATTTTCAAAATACAAAACAATTTTTAATAAACTAAAAAAAAAAATTAAATTAACCTTCGTAAAAGTTCATTCATAACAGTTTTAATATCAACTTGTCTACGTTCATCTTCTGATGTTATTGGTGGATTAATATATTCAGCAACACATGGAAATCCATCAATAATAGATTTATTCCATCTTTCAGCTAACATTTGTCCAGCTTTACGAAAATTTAATTTTTCTAAATCCATATTTATTGTTACACCTGAATCATTTAAATGTGAACCAAAATGCTCATGTGGTAATATAAGACCAGCTAAATCATGAGATAATGGAGCCATACGACTTTCAACTATATTATAAGCTGATTGACCAGGACTCAAAAAAAAAAA